AGTCGGCTCTTCGGCTGTTGATCTGCGGCCCCACCGCGGAGGCGACCGCTGGGAGGCAGCCCCCGAGCCGGCTTTTCGGGTGTTGATCTGCGGCCCCACCGCGGAGGCAGCCGCTGAGAGGCAGCCCCGAGCCGGCTTTTCGGGTGTTGATATGCGGCCCCGCCAGCCGAGCAGCGGACTATGGCGACCATGCCGCCGACTCTCGGCCCGCGCAATTACCGTAGTCGGGCCTCTGGCTTTGGACGTCATCCGCGAGGCAGTGGGCTATGGCGACCATTCGGGCCTCTGGCTTTTGACGTCATCCGCGAGGCAGCGGGCTATGGCGACCATTCGGGCCTCTGGCTTTGGACGTCATCCGCGAGGCAGCGGTCCTTACGTGCTCCGATATTGCTCGAATGCAGCACAACCAGCAGCATGCCGAGACGAGCAACTAATTCGCTTGAACCGGGAGTTGCGCCGACCAGCGGCGTGGTTTGTGGAACACCTTGAACTTTGAATGCACCCATCAGCAACGGCAGAACAATCAGTTCCCAGCCAAAACCCACGCTGAGAGGGTCTTGATGACATTGCACTGTTCAGCGCCGTCCAGGCACGTTAAAACTTTCGCAACCATCCCCATTCCCAAGCGACACTCGGCGGGGTGGCTCTCGCGCACACGTGCCCCAGATTGCCGGCCGGCTCTGTAGCTGAGCCTGAGAGCCGGCTGTGGGAGTCTTCACATAACCGAGGTCAAACGGGTAATGGCCCCCGAATCGGCGCCGCCGCCTCGGAGCTTCGAGCCAGTCCATGCAGCCGGCCTCTTGCTCCCTTCCTCCCTTCCTCCCTCCCTCCGTTTTTCTCTTCCTTCATCTCTCCCTCTCTCTCTCTCTCTCTCTCTCTCTCTCTCTCTCTCTCTCTCTCTCTCTCTCTCTCTCTCTCTCTCTCTCTCTCTCTCTCTCTCTCTCTCTCTCTCTCTCTCTCTCTCTCTCTCTCTCTCTCTCTCTCTCTCTCTCTCCCTCTCTCTCTCTCTCTCTCTCTCTCTCTCTCTCTCTCTCTCTCTCTCTCTCTCTCTCTCTCTCTCTCTCTCTCTCTCTCTCTCTCTCTCTCTCTCTCTTTATATTTATCACTCCCTATCTCTCTCTATTTCTCGCTCGCTGTCTCTCTCTGCGAACTCCCTATATGCCTTTTCTATACACGGATGTCTTTGTCCAGGGGTACATCTGATTTTTTCACTGATGCATGGGTTTTTCAGTGTGGCCATTAGGTAGGAAATAGGAAATAGGAAATAGGTTCGCTCGTTCACTTTTCAGCACGCGAGCAAAATGTTCTCCAGCATGCCGGAAGCTATAATCTAGCTGTAACAACGCTTCGGGCTTCAGCAATAGTTTCCCTGACTCCGAGTGTCATGCATACGATTTTCCTGCAGAGATAGACGTCGGGGTGTTGTAGTTCGGCGAGAGGGCGGCGCTCGCATAAGCCCCAGTTGAGTAAAACGTGGGAATATCCTTCCCTCAGCAGTGTCAGCTGTGCAACCAGCATATTCCAGACAACTCTGTAATGAGCGTCATGACCATGCACAAAGCAATTAGCACTCTAACACAAGCAGCCTTCATCTGTCTTATCACATTTGCAAGTTGATATGTGGTGGCTAATGACCGCCGCTGTGCAGACCTTTTTGCCTCCGTCACGTTGGATGAATCGCAGGAACGCTGGCAAACATTACCAGGGTATCAAAATATTTGCAAGCCATTTTTGCGGAGCCCAATTAATTGGCAGATTTCTACCGGGATGGAGCGAGCTGACGTGGGCTTCCGATTTCACGAGCGCACACCTGCCGTTGTTAAGTCCCGTCTGCGTCCTCCTGGCCGAGTTAAGGCCGCATGACTCCGACGGCGCTCGTCCTGTCTCTCCGCCGCGGTTCGCGTGACAAGCGTGCCCTGAACGCTGACCTGAACTCCCTTGACCTGACCTGATCCACCCCTGCCCGACCCGGAGCCCAGGTGTGAGGTTCGAGCCGGTCACTCCCAGCGTGACAGTGAGCGTGCGAGTGTCGACTCTCTCCCCGGTCCGGTCCGCTGACCAGCCGGCCGGCCGTGTCAACACTCCGGCTCCCCGGCCGTGAAGGTCGGCGGTCAACCCGGCCGGAGGTGCGCCGCCGCCGCCGCCGCCGCCGCCGCCGCCGCCGCCGCCACCGCCGCCGCCAGCGTGCGCCCGGGTGTTTGTACGCGACGTCTCGACGGAGTGAGGTCCCGCACTCGCAGGTGACGGCCGTGGCTGCCGCAGCGGGCGCGCTCTCAAGACGAGGACGCCGCCTGCGGCTTCCTGAGGCTTCTTAAAGCCGATACGCAACTCTGGAAATCTGTGCTGTGAAGAGCACGCAATGTTTCCTGAATCCGACACACTACTGAGGTGTATTTCTGCAAGACCAAAGTGATAAAAAATCCTTGGAAAATGTAGCTATTTTCCTGCTCTATTGATCCACGTCACCTCTTTGTATGAAGCTGCGCTCCGTATTGCACCTGATGACGTGGTGCTTCAAACAATCCAGGCGTCCGCTAGAGCAGCCGGAACGGGTGAGGTCCCTCGCCCACCCGTCGGCGGACCCGCCTTCACACCCTGGTGAAAACTTGGCCGGGACAGGCAAGGTCAAACACTCACCTGTCGGTGGACCCATCTTCGCAGCTCAGCGGAGACGGGGCGGGACAGGTCAGGTCAAGGAACAACCCGACGGACGAGCGGTCTCTATACCCCAGCAGAGACAGGGGCGGGACAGGTTATGTCAAACGCGCATTCGTCACGATCCAGCTCACTGTCACGCCCCATCGGGGAAGAGGCCGTGACGCGTTACCCAAAGCTGCCAGCGCTTTCGTCCCAGCAATGCGAAACGGGAAGCTCCCGCCACCCAACTTAGACCGGGAAGGTCCGCGGTCTGAAACGCTCTCTCTCCCTCCCTCTCTCTCCCTCTCTCCCCCCTCTCTCTCTCCCTCTCTCTCACTCTCTCCCCCTCTCTCTCTGACACCGGTGGCGCGGTTCGTCGGTATGACTAATTGCGTAGGCTGAGTGATACCGCATATCAGGAAAACTGGTCGGTCTGACACAAAATTGACAGGTCGGTCGACTGACACAAGGCGGCGTTCAGGACGGCCGTGCCCCCGCGCTCTGTCTCACCGTTGGAGCTGCTGCCCCCCCCCCCCCCCTCCGCAGCACCAGCTCATCTCTAGAGCGAAGTTCACCTTTTATAGCCCCGTCCGGCTCACATAGCAACTCAGCCGTCTTAGCCCATTAGCTCAGGGGCCTACAGTCCTTCCCTCTTTCTCCGCCATCGTCCCTCGGTCGGAGCGCAGCGTACCTACTCTCCCGTGACGCACAATCGCTCGTACCGGAGAGTCATGACCCCCGCCCGATGATCGGTTCCGCGTACACGGTCGGCGGGTCTCGAGGCACGGTCGGAGGCTGACCTCTGCCGGCCGGGCTGGGCCGCTCACGCCGGCACCACGGGCCGAGCCCGCACCTCCGAGATGCTTTCGGCGCAAAACTGGCTTCGAGTGACGGCCGGCGGCGGATTTAGCCGCGAGTCGATCACGACTGGAGGAGCGGCCCGGATTTAATCCAGCTGGCCTATCCCGGCGATGCCTTTATATGGCTGAGGACTTTTTGACGGCTGGTACTCGGAAGTCCCTCAAGTGCTCCTCGGGTCAGCCGCTGTGAAGCACGCGAAGCAATAGGGGAAAGCCGGCGGTCGGGGCGACAGAGCTCGGTCCTGTTTTCCTGCACGGTTCACCTGACGCCCGCCTCGACGGGCGATGTTCCTGCCAATCTCAGCCCGATCGCCGGAGCCCTGACAGCTGTCGGTCACGCCGGCCGTGTCCCCCAGTGACGTCACTCGGGCGCCGGCGGGGCGCGCGGGCGTCCTGCCGGTCGCGGAGGCCGCCGATGACCGTCACCGGGGCAGGTCGGCCGTTTTCCCCGTCACGACAGGCCGGCCGGCGGCCCGACATCAGAGGCGGCGCCGGCCGCGCTCGCGCGCCGCTCACCCGCGCTCGCAGCGGCGGAAGTGAGCGTCAAGTGACGTCACGGCGTCAGCCCTGACCGCCGACGTCCGGCACGTGCAACAAAGGTGTTTGGCACCAGGCTCCGACGTCTTATCTCAAACAGGGCCCGGCAGTGCCTGCCACCTCCAGCCGAGTTTGGCGCGGGCACGAGGTGAGCCGGGGTGCATAGCTGAGCGGATCAGCAGGCCGTCGCCGCTGCACTTTCACGCGGGGCCTGCCGACTAGCACGGTATTGATGCGTGGTGCAGACATGAGCAGATCCTTTTTGCAAATTCTTGCTAGGCTTCGCATGCCATAGGAGCTGCTAATTTGTGGAAAACCCGCTGGTAAGTCCATCAGGCGCAGTTGCACCATGCGTCAACGGAGCATGTTTCGCAAATTTCATACTGATCTCGCGGGTCAATTTCAATACAGGCTTGCCCAATGCTCGGCGCAGAAGTTACAGATATACCGCACACAGGAGTAGCGCATAGGCTGGCTGTGACTGTGACTGAGTTTGACGGTGTGGCTCTGTTTATACACATGACCCGGGACGTATGACAGTACACAACCATGGACGGCTCCTGTGTGACTACAGGCTAGCCAGAGTGTGCGTCAGCAGTATCGAAGCCATAGCGACCTCAAAGTCCGTGGCATTGTCCAGTTACCAGCAGATTGATAGACAGACGGTAAGATGATAGCCATTGCTTGTTAATCGACCTGCGTGCGGATACCTTCATTGGTGTGCATCATGTGCGAGCAAACATTTTCTGGAAAACAATATTGCTGTCTCGAGATCATGCACCTAGTGGTGCAGAATGTGGCTTTTGTATGCAAAAGTGTACTCTCAGCTGTCACATATTATGACACATGACAAACTTTCCCACATGCGCATGCACCATTCCCAAATCTCAACACCTCCACAATCCCTCGATCCAACACACCCTCACAAGTCCCTCGACCACGCTCGCCTCGTCGGGCGGCGCTCACCTGATCAGTGACCTTCCCAGGTGTTGGGGTGGTCGCTGGCGGGGTCAGCCGGGTCGGCCAGGCGGGGGCGGCCGGCGCCCGGGCCCGTGACTGACGCGCGTCCGCGCCGCGCCCGCTGCCAGCGGCTGCCGGCGCTGCCTGCCGCCGAACGGGGCCACCGCCGACCGATCACTGCACGCCACTGCAGGCCGACCGGTCCGGCCGGCCGGCGGCCGCCGCACGGCACGGACCGGGCAGCGGGGGCTGGACACTGCAGGGCGGTCAGGGCAGCCGGCCGCCACACAGCACGGACCGGGCAGCGGGGGCTGGACACTGCAGGGCGGTCAGGGCAGCCGGCCGCCACAAGGCGCGGACCGGACAACAGGAGCTGGACACTACAGGGCGGTCAGAACAGCCGGCGGCCACACGGCACGGACCGGGCAGCAGGGGCTGGACACTACAGACCAGTCAGGGCATCCAGCTGACAGGCTCCATAGGCTGGTCAGACCGTAAGGGGGACTGGTTACTTCAGACCGGGAAGACCGGCCGGCCGTCGCGCGGCACAGACCGGGCAGAGTAGTCGGGACACTAAGAACCGGAAAGGTGTTCTCTGCACTACAGTCCAGAGACGGAAGCAGGACACTGGATGAGTCAAGACAGACTGTGAGCTTTCTGCAGGCCGGTCAAGAATATCATGATTTTGCTTATCGGCCCATGTGACTGCTTTGATCATTACTGGCGCATCTTATGCAGCCTGTAGACAACGGGCACTGAAATATTAATGGAATCTGTGGGGTTTCAAACTAGAGTTCGGAAGCGAAGACCATTCCACCGTTATGCCATTTGTGACGCAAATCAAAGCCAGAGGGCCGACACTATACGACCATCCCGCTGACTCCATGAGCTGGTAGCGTCGCCACGTCATCAATGGAGCAGAGCCAGTGGCAGTTATTCGTGACAGGAATAAAACCCGTCGTTCTTCATATGGGTGCCCGAGTAGTCATAATCCTAGGACGCTCATGCCCCCACTTGAAGTAAATATTGAGCACACAACCATCAGCTCTCTAAATCACATGCTCGCTGGCGCTGCTCCTGCGTACCAATGCAGCAGTTTGGTGTTTGGAGACATTCAAATGTAATATAACTCAGCAATAACATTCTTTTTCTTTTCGTTTTTGCACTGACTTGAAGCATGATGTCGACAAGGGCAGGTCAATTTCGAATCAACTTTTTTTTATTTTGTTGACAACAGTGATGTGTGCGGAAATGCAAATTATGAACACTGCGCCAGAATGCGGGTAGATTGTGGAGTCCGCTGGACGAAGAACGCAGTGTCCGTCTTTTATTGTTGGCTTAGCGTTGAGCCAAACTCGGCTGTGCCTTTGGGTCGTTGGTCTTTCGCTGCTCATATTATGACCGGATCCGTCTTGAAAAATGCTCGGCAACAATGGCATCGTTGAAAAAATCGAGCACAACACGCAATTTGCTTTCATGACAACCCTGAATCGCCTCGTGCAGACCGTATGCCAATCATCCGCACCAGCAACTGCTGTGCCGCTTCGCGTGTGAGAAGCTGCAGATGTGAACCCAAAGCACAAAGCATGTCAGCTGGTGACGTCACGCAAGTCAGCGTTAGGAAAATTTCCCCCAGACAGCACACTGAGCACTTCCCCTTATGATTGATTCCGGGGGTCTGGCGGGAGTTGGCTCCTTCTCAGAAATCTGGTAACCAGCAGGAGGCCTTATGGTCACTCATGGGATTGTCAACCCATGCCAATGTCAGACGGAAAATTTGCTGCGGCGGTATGCGGGTTATTACCAGCATGACTTATCAAAGTTATCTGCATCAAGGCTCCAGATAAAGTGCTTTCGAAAGCAGGATTCCCCATGGTGTGCAGTCGTCACCATATTACACTTGCAACGAAATTAACAGGCGTCTGCGGCTTGAATTTCATACCACTAATATTCTTGCTTACGCTGCCGCAGTGCACTCCTAAAAATATTTTGCATCGGTCTCTCCGGCTTTGTTACTCAGTTATGCGATGCAACGGACCTTAAGACCTTAAGCTATTCCTTCCTTGAGAGGATGTCACACGGGATATCCGTTAACATCCATTTCGAGAGCCGCGTTAGCAGTCTAAGTGTTATTATGTGAGAGTTTATTCGCTAATTTTTGGGCGGATCCGCTTCGTTACTGAGAAGCAAAGCGAGCAGCTGTGAACCAGCCATGGCCAACTCGCGCTAGCAAAGCTAACACTGATTACATGTGGGAACTCGGCATCATAAAAATTACGGAACTTAGCCGGCGTCCGCCTCCCGAGTGCCCAGTCGGCGCCCGGAGCCTCGCACCCGGTCGGGCCCGCCGGCGGCGGCAGCCGCTGCGAACTCGAGCAGCGGGTCGCTGGGCGTCGGCAGCTGGAACGGCCCCGAGTCACGCCACCGGCCCGCCGCCGCGTGCCGGGCGCCGGCCGGCGAGCCGCGACCGACGGCCTGCCTCCACGAACGCGGCCCGCACACTCGGCACGACGGCGCGCAGCGGGCCCTGACGCCACTCTCGCCGCCGGCACGCGCCCGGGAGGAGCTCAACCATCGCTGTTCGCGCTCACCCGGACCGTGTGTCGTCCATGGGCGCCTGCTACCGGATCGTAAGGTCCGGTCCGTCACGCGAGGTCGCTTCCCCTCCCGGCGGCACCAGATGGTGTTCGGTGGAGTCTCGCCCGCCCCCTCCATTACCTTCTGCGGTCACCTCCTCCGGGACGACCTCGAGCGGCGATCGAGCGGGGACCCTCGAGCGGCGGTCCGATGGCCAATGGCAAACCAGTCTCACGCTGTCCCCCTCCCCCTACCTCACAAGAGAGGAATAGGTGTGCCACTGCCGAGTCAACATCGAGTGGTTCATTATCGAGAGAGAGAGAGAGAGAGGAGAAAGAAAGAGAGGGAGAGAGAGAGGGGGAGGGAGGGCGAGAGAGAGAGGGGAGAGAGGAGGGAGAGGGAGAGAGGAAGGGAAAGAGGGGTGAGAACAACAAACAGAGCCCGCTCTCTTTGCCCGGGCGAGAGACCGTTGACGCCGTATTACCCCAGCAGCTGAGTGCGCCGTAAAGCCCAAATGACGACATCGAGAGGGAGAGTCGACGGTGACTCGCCTCCTATTTGTCGCACGGACTCATCCGGATTTTGGACGTGGACGTGGAGAGGCGGACGGAGGATTCGCGGCGGGCATCACATCGAGCTATGTTTGGCAACTGGCTGTAAACCCGACGCTCGCAGCCATGTCTGAATGAAGCGTCACTAAACAGCCAACAAATAAACTCAGATTGTCACAGATAACATCAGTCGGAGGCGCAAGTGACAAGTTGCTTCAAATTGATAACGCCGACGCCTGTCAATTGCGTGTGCTCAGATTTGTCCGTAAGCTGAGTTGTTGGCATGCCGGGTGGGCCCAAATCCTTATGTTAATAATTCGACATTCCGGTCATTACAGTCCATTACGTGGAATCAGATAAGGCATTTATTTGACTGCTAGTCCGACTGCTAGCCTGTGCAGTAGTCTAAATGCAGCGTTTTTACAATTCTACGTCAAATATTAAGTACTTACGTGAAACTCAAGGCACTATGTGGCTTGCGGCACTTTTTGGCGAATGTTCAGGCGTATCGAAGGCTTCCGTTGCATGCATCACTTGCGAAAGCTGTGCTTGGAGGCAAACCCTGATCAGCACGGGAGTATACACATGTAGTATGTAGCGTACCGTGGGAATTACTGCGAGCGACGACACGAGACATGGAGAACAATGAGCTGAAAGGCCCGGAATCTGAGACTTCATCAGCTGTCAGCAATCTGATCTCGGACGTCGGCAGCCCAGGCGTGACGACGACGCCTCTCAATCCCGGCTTTATTCTCTGTGTGATGGCACGGCCATCCATCTGAGTCTTCCATAGATCTATCATCCTTTTTCCCGATTGATGATACGCAATCTTGCATCTGACTGTGCTCATTTTTTAACTACATATGAGATGCTGAACAATTGAAACGCAGCCCAACTTAAGAGGCACTGATATGCATTTTAGCTGCAGCTACGACAAATGGTTGATTAACCATGCATGCATAATCATATGCTGAGTTATGCACTGCCTGCCTGCCTGTGTATTTCCCGCAGAAAAGTGCTACTTCCAAACCAGCACTACACAACTCGGCTTTATCCACTCACTCCCATGCTAAGATGAATTGTCATGAAATGTGAACGGGACCTCTCGGTCGGCCCGTTTTAAACCACGCGCTGGTGGCATGGCGCCTCACGCACCCAAATCCTCGGGCCACGTGACCAGCGTGCCATTCGCTACATTGCAAAGCTACTCCGCTGCCGGTGTGCTGATGTCGAAAGCACCGACCGCAAGCATTTGCGGCAGCGGGTCAGCGTGCCCGGCCACCGCGGCCGGTCCACATTGCCACACCCAGCGGGCGCCCAATGGAGCGGGCGTGCTCCCGGCGCGGCGGAACGTGAGACACACACGAGCCGCGTTCCCATCGTCTGTATATTCACCAGCACTGCCCTGCAGCACACGGCTTTGGCCAGCGGCACGCACAGCTATGTACACACATGCACAGCGGCTCAGGTCCGTTGTCGGGGACCGCACGCCTCAGACCCGACGGACCAGCGGGGACGCTCTGGTCCGGCGGGCTGGCAGCTCGGCGGAGAGCGGTGGCCAGGCGGCTCGCTGGGGCCCGGCTCCCGTTCCTCTGCGGCTGTCGGGTCGAGAGGAGGCGGCGCGCCCGCATAGGGGTCACCTCTGTGGACCCCGTGCGACGACCGGCCGAGAGACACACGTCTGGAAGCGAGCGCCGACGGGATGAGTACGGCCGTGGGGGCGTTGGAAAGGTTACCTCACGATTAAGCGCCAATGCAATTGTAGGACGTCCACTCTACGAAAGCAGATGTCTGAGATGCAGCTAGAGAACTGTAGACATCACATTTGCCATGAAAGATTGGGTAGAGTACATTGGTCTGACATTGCATGGTGAAAATTTGCAATGGGTGTTCGTGATTGTGATGCCTCATCGCCGTGTCGTAAATTGGCATCACATAAAATCGCGGGGCATTTAAACTTTGCGACGATGTGCAGTGAGAAACATCACGAGCACTGGAAAACTCACCTTCTGGTCAGGTGCCTCTAATGCTGAAGTCATCTCCTCCGGTTCCGGTCGCGCCAGTTCAGTTCTCAACACAGTCCAGGTCATCGCACGACATGGACTTCGTTGACCTGGAACAAGGCAGAGCCGTGAGCTTCGATGTCTACATGTGTAGCATGACAGGACACCACCAGTAACATCGTAATTATGCACGAAAACAGCCGCGCCTTTACATCTCGTGAGTGGCCGTACAAGAACATGTGGGATGAAGGAAATGGCCCCTACTCGGTGTAGCTTTCCACGATTAACATGATAATTAGCGCTCCCCTTCGAGAGAACTGCACAGTGTAATGACGTCATCGCGTCATCATCGCCAGGTTGCTCCGTCCAGCACGGCGAGAGTCGGACCGCGACTGCCGCATGACGTTAGCAACGCGGGATTGGGGCCCGGGTGTCAACACGCGTCTAAGCACTCTACTAGACCGTCGTCCGGGGAAAGCAACATGAATGGGTAGGGCAGAGCAGAGCACGTGCCAGACTGCTCGCTAGCCCGCCGCCAGCGGCATCGGACGCCCGCCGACAGAGCGGCAGCGGACCGCTTCCGGACAGCGGACCGCTTCCGAACGGCAGCCGCAAACCGCGACGGACGCGTGCGGCAGGCTAGTTTGTTTTGCCGAGGCCGGCTTCCTCAGCGCGGCACCGACAACCTGCAGCATTGAGCCATTAGCCAACGCCAAATCGAGCTGGGGTACTCCGGCCAGTGCCACAGGCACGTGGAGGGTGGAGAGCTCTCCACCGCGTCGAGACCAGTGTCTGACGTAAAATGAATTTTTCGGGCAACGCACAGAAAGCGCGGGAACAGACGAATGGCCTGCATTGACTACGTGCTTGGCTAACAAAAGACCTAAGCATATTTGCAGCGGATACAGGGTTATGTCTCGACTGACCATTGTGGGCAAATAAGATCCCAACCCTGTGCAAGCCTCAACAATGGCCAATAATGTTTTAATGAGCACTGTTAAAAGATCCATTGATTTTTAGGGATCATCAAAATGCCCCACCGTTAAAACTGATTGCAGGCATGTTCAGTGCAAATGGATTTCAGGTTCCATATTAGCCCTTAAGCTGATCCACCAGCCTGATCACCTTCATCTCTCAAGGAAGGAGAAATGACGACAAATGAAAGATCTTCGCGCGCAATTGATGCTGTCAAGAGACATATTTCATTCGCCTGAACAATGCATTTCTAAGCTGTACCCTCTACACACTGGCATCCTATGCCCAATGTAAGGCGACCGATCCCCGGCAAGCATGATTCAGGAACCCGTCTTTCGGCTCTGTTTCGACATTATGTCAAAATAAATGTGGCGGATGGCGGCGTGATTCATTATCGCAGCCACATGTTCCTTCCGTCCCGTGTCGTTTATCAGCATAATCACGGCGTTCTGGGGCGCAATCTCAGTGCTCATCGCCGCCGTAGCTCCGCCGCGGGCCGCGACGGGTGGGCAGCTCCGCCGCGGGCCGCGACGGGCGGGCATAATCCGGTCCGCGGAGGCCCGGCTTCAGGGGCGACAGCTGCGCCCGGTGGGTCTTACGGCCGGGAGTGATGCCCGCTGCCCGCCGCCAGCTGGCCGCGCGCGCGCGCGCGCGCGTGGGAGAACCCACCACTAAATTGGGGAAACAGACCGGTGTAATTAGATGATCGCGTGGACGCGGCTGGGCCTTAATTTGAATATGCGAGGGAAAGCCTGCTTTGGAAACAGTGGGCAGACGTACACTCAGGAATGGCATGACCTCTCCCCCCCCCCCCCTCCTCCCTCCTCCCCACGAATAGATCGGCGTTTCTGTTCAGTTCATTTCGGACGAGTGCATAATGAAATTTGCATGTTTACCGCCTTCGATGCATAACCTGTGGAAGATTCGATTGCTCCTTATTGGCGCTTCTCTTGTTCAGAATAACTGTATTTTTCCAGGCTTGTTATGGGTGTTGATACGAGGCCTGGCATGTATTCAGGCCAGATTCATGAATCTAAATTCGCTAGCCTGACTCCATTGTTGGAAATGTTCAGAGAGCGAACTCACGAGTCCAACGTTTCCCAGATGCTTCTGTTTCACGAACACCTTCCAGCCATGCATCAAGCCTTTACCGGCATGATAATGAGCTACGTGACTAACACACCATTCTATAATGGCCAGCTATTTAGTTTGATTCAAGTCGTCATATGTTATCAAGTCCTGAAGCAAAGGCAAAATTGCCAAACCCCCTCCGTAAAGTACCATGCTAATCAGGTACGGTAGTGTTAATGTGCCTCCTTCCCGTGGGGACAGGACACATGTCTGCTTAGCTTTAAGTCTTGCCGATTGTAATGCTGGTGAGCGCAGGAATTCTAAAACAAATAATAAAATAATACGCTAAATATACACTTGCCGAAATCGCACTAACCCAACCAACCTTACCAATAGGTGCATTATTGGGAATGCACTAAACTTCGGAGTGAAACGAAACCTTGCTCTGAATGTTTTTGCTGACTCTGAAATTAGCTACTTGGAAAAGATTGGGGCAAACTTCCAGTGTTCTTTTCCTCCCACTCGCAGTTCTGACCATTCATACAGGTGTGCAAACACACCACCCAGTCACGCGCCGCGGAGCGGGACAGGGCAAAGTCCACATCGGTTCCGTCTCTCGGTGGCGCTGACTGGGCCCCGGTGCGACCGCGGGCTCAGAGTGAGTTTCGGGACAGGCGCGGCCGCAGGCTCAGAGCGCGTACCGGACCGGCGCGGCCGCAGGCTCAGAGCACGTCCCGGGACCGGCACCGCCTCGAAGTGGGGCGACTCGTGACCGTCGGATGGGCAGGCCAGCGAGGACGCCGTGGACGGCTGCTCCACGGAGCCGCTCGGCCACGGCTCCTCGCGAAGCCGGCGCCGGCACGGCAGCGGCGCCGCGATCGGGGGGGGGGGCCTGTTTTGACAGCCCGCTGGAAGGGCTCAGGGAGACCGGCTTGCCCCGCTGACTGCGCCGCCAGTCAGCTGACTGCGCCGCCAGTCAGCGGACGTCTCATCAGCTGAGCATCGCCGGGCTCCGGCGATAACGCTGAAGGCGCCTCAAGTAACGTCAGCAGTGGCGTTGCAGATTATCACGCAAGCTATAAAAACAGCAGCAGTGCTACTCTGTACCTAAGAGCTCAATAATGGATTGAACATTTTGCAAAGTATTTCATAGCAGCCGTCCGGTGCTGCGTAGATGTCTTGCGATAGCGTTTTACGCAAATCACCTGCAACTTTTTGCCTGCTAAATAAGTGCTGAGACTGGATGATTGCGGAATATAGCACAAAAAGCAGACGTCGTAGTAGGTGTGCTGCATGAGTCTTACTTAACCCAATAACAGAGTGCAAGAATGACATTTGATGCATCACGCTATCCGAGGGCAGAACAGCACGCCTGTTTCACTCCGCGTCCTTCACGTGCTCGTCGGCCGAGGACGCGGCGCGAGTGCGGAGGCGACGCCGCAATCGACGCCTGCCGTCTGAGGACGTGTGTGGCCGGGTCAGTGACCCTCGTGACGCGTCCCCGCCCCAGTCACGAGCGGCGCGCCGGTGCGGTCTGTCGGCGCAGAGACGTGCGGAGCGCGCCGCCGGCCCGGCCGGCCGAGCCCGCACGGCTGCGGCTGCCGACCGCCGCCGAACGGTCCCGTGCCGCCCACCGCCGAGCACAGCCTGCACCTCGCAGCGCCGCCGCGAACCAGGAGCAAGCCTCTGGATGCCGTGATCTATGTGCGGTCGGATACTGATCGGTATCTGGCCATCTTGCCATGTACTGATCCCATTAGTTGATTGATTGCCATCGATTTGATCTGTTCGGTGATAGCAAAGCCCATAAACGGGTAATCTTAGCTGTCTTGGTCATTGACCGTTCAATCCCTCTCATGTCGTGAACTCTGATCTCGCAACACCTGACGCCGTGACCTGGACCCCTGGCGTGATCACCCGTGAACTTGGCCGTGCCGCACCTGGCAGTGCCCTTAGCGGGCAACGTTATCGCAGGTCCAATCAGCAAACGCACAGCCTCATCGGAGATATGAACGAGCTAGCAAGGTAAAACACATAGCAATAAACTAAGCCAACACGCCTTTTTGGCACGATTTAAACATACTCTGAGCTCTACGGAACAAACGGATCGTTTCCCACCGGAGACAAATTTACGGCCCATTCCGTTTCTGTGTAATCAGCTGACTGCCCACGGACGGGTCATCGCGCTTGACCCGGGAAAAGCAGCCAGCATACTGATTGCTGCGCAACATACCGCGGCGCCCACTGCCGCGGGCAGGGAAAGCTGTTGTTGAACTTTGCGTTAACTTCCTCCGAGAACGACGTCACGTAGGCTGTAAGGTGTCTTAGGGGCTTCTGGCAGCTATTATAGACTGCACAAAAAGTTCCCTCAGACGATTAAGAGCGGTGGAAAACACCAATCAATAGACCACAATCGATCCAACAATCCGCCATCGGTGCACGAAAGAGACGTCCGTTCTGATCGCTCCTCAAACCAGTCTACCCACTACTTGAGCTTACAGTCGCTGGACTGTAAGCTGACAGCGCAGCGCCCCATCTCCCACGCTCCGACGCCCTGCCCGCACCATGGGCCCCACCACCCGGCGCCGCCAGTGCCATGAGCTACCTCAGCCCGTCACCCCGCGCGCCGCGTGCCGTGCGAATCCCACCCGCAGTACGTCCATGTCGCAACAGCGTGGGCCGAACGCAGCGAGCGCGCGCGCGTGCCCAGGCCGACGTGTTTGAACAATGGCTGCTGATGAGCCCGGGCCGGGGGCCGCGCCGGTGGCCCTGACGGCCGAACAGACGCCCCGAAGCCACGGTCTGGCGATAAACGGCGGATGGCCGAGACCCCGGCTTTCAGAGAAGCATCGCCCACCGCCGCAGCCGCCTTTGCCTGCCTGTGTGCGGTGTGGCGACACAGAACCACCGATTTGGATGTGTTCTCGAAACGGTGCTTGGCCTCGGACAACAAGCACCTTTGTCTTCCAAGGCCGTAAAGGTTGCCCAAGGAGTAGAATTTACAGAGCGGGCACTCAGGGCATCGTTTACACGTTGAGGTAGCTTGTTCGCGCTGGTGTAGTTAAGAATTAGCATGTAGAACGAATCTACTGGGGCAACGGGAGCCCGTCTTATGCAAGAACTGTAGCGGGTCACGAAAGATGGGTGTCATTATTTCCAACATATCGCAGAAATCGCACATTTCTGATAATGGTATGGGCACTCCAAGGCTACTGTGAGCAAATATCGTTATTCATATGCGCTACTTGTTCCACCAGACCACATCACCACTGATTTGTAGAGGCACATTCGTGTATGTGAACGCTATATTCGTGAACGTAAACGTTGGCCAAATGATAACTCGCGGGAAATTCGCTGGTCTCCTTAAAAATGCACAACGGGCCAGATGACTGCCACCCATTTTTTGACATGCAAGAACGCGTGATACCGGTTGCCACCCAGCTGGGGCGCACGGCATCCTCTCACCTTCGGCGTCCGGCCTGTTCCCTGCGGGCCACGTAGAGCAGCACCTGCCCCGACCTGACCGACTTGAACACGACCACGGCCTCCGCGTGCGACAGCCCCTGCATACTCTCTCCGTTCACCGCCAGGATCTCGTCCCCTGGAAACGAGGACGACACTTTATCTCAGCGGACGACGTCTCAGCCTCACAAGAACGCCATCAAACCGGCTGCTCCCACAGTTAAAACACCGGACTGGTCGCAGCGTTGCCCTGGAAAGCGTGAGACGAAGATCGAGACGTTGCGGTCAATGCGTTACGGACTGAGGGAGCCGGCTTGAAATGAGAAGAAAGGCGGGATCGTGGGAAGATAACGACGCGGCGGGGAAGTGGACCCATGCAGCCTCGGTGATTCGTAGATCTTAGCTGTGTAGCCTTACCTTCAATCAGTTTGCCGTCCTCTGCCGCTTGGCCATTGGGGAACACCGTCTTGACGTAGATGCCCATGTTGCCCTTGGGGGAATCTCTGCCGCCCACGATGCTGAAGCCCAGGCTCTTCTTTCCAGCTCCCTTCTCGAAGGTAATCGTCAGCAGGGAGGTGATCAGGGACTTGGGTCTCCGGGACGCTCCCGATCCGGATGACCTGGCGCCGGACCTCTGGTCATGGCGCCTGCGCAGTAACTCCCGCACTGACGATACCGACTGGATGCTGGAGACGGAGTACCCCGAAACGCCGGAGAGCACCGACTCTGGCCGCTGATGCTCTTCCGTCTCGGAGGCGTCACACAGCTCGGAGCCAGTGGCCGGGTACTCGAGCGAGTCGTCCGGGTCATCGGCGTCGTCTCGTGCCGTCGCCGTTCTGCTGCTGTCCGGCACAGAGATGACCACCACGTGCTGGCCGGTCTGCTGATGGCTCAGCCGGTCCGGGTTGAAGTCCCGGGCTATGACGATGTCCAGTTCGGGCGAGGGGTCGCGCAGGATGTCCAACACCGTCTCGAGGGCACAGCCGCGCAGCCGGCGGCCATTCACGTTCACTATCTCGTCGCCCACCTTGAAGCGCCCGTCCCTGGGGACAGACAGATCATCTGATATAGGCATAACTAATCGACATGATTCTATAGCACCGTTCGAGGCCGTTATTTGATTCGTAACTTTTCAAGAATAACGAGTGAATCCAGGTTGACTTTACCTTGCAATGGCGCCGTTGGTCTCCATCTCAGCGATAAGGTAGCCGTGGTGGACGTTCCTGGCAATAAAGATACCCAGCGAGTCGCCGTCCGCCTTCAGGACGCGCAGCATCTTGAACTGTTTGCTGGTGAAGTCGGCCGGCAGCGAGGGCAGCGACGGCTGGCTGGCCAGGCCGCCGTTCGTCTGTCCGATGTGACCTGTGGAGCGGGGACGGGCCGGAGGGCGGCCCGTCTCTCGCGGCTCGCGCGTGCCCATCCGGATCCGACCGCGCGTCGGGCCGCCGCCGTCGGCCGGGTAGCCACCGGACGGCGTGCGGTAGCCCTCCTCCGACCGGAGGTGTTGATAACCTTCCGAGTGGGCACGCAGATCGGCCGTGGGCGTTCGTCTGGCGTAGAACAGGCCCGAGTCGCCATCGGCAGAGTTGGCCAGGCGCTCGTGCAGACCCAGGTCGGCGTCCTGCCTCCGTACTGTGTCACTGCGGCGCACCGGAGACAGAGTTTCGCTGTCGGACAGCACCTCATCGTAGTGCGCCCGGTCCCAGGGCAGCGACGTCTGCGTGGAAATCTCGGCCATCTGGTCCCGCAGCAGCGACTTGCGTGGAGGCTTGGTGGGCCGACTCTTGTGCGGCGTGAACTTCCTCTGCGGCGCTGGCGGCTCGGCGACCAGACAGGTCTCGTCGTCGGCTCCGTCCCGGAGCAGCCTCATCTCTTTCGGCTGCCTCAGGATGGTACCGTTGCCCTGACTGGCGAACGGGGAGTCGTCGCCGTCCTGCACCTCAGGCCCGGGAGAGCCGGTGGTGATCTGGACGGCGCCCGCCGAGCCGGCTCTCTCGCACGCGCCGGGACGCGGCCCCCTCTGCCGCAGCTCTTGACTCGACACCTTGGCGCTGTCGTCACTGGACGCGCTGTGGACGCTGATTCTGCGAGTGCTGCCGGGAGGCGAGTCCTCGCTCCGTCGCGTGCCATCGCTGTCGTAGCCACTCTCGGTCGAGCAGACGTGGTTCACCGGCCGCTTGTCCACCGACGGCACGGCCTCCGACACACTGATGACAATGTTCCCGACGCTCCTGGCGCCGCACTGGGCGCCCGGGTGGATCGCCCGCTGATCCACCTCCTGTCCACCCAGGTGGTGGACCAGAGGAAGCTTCCGCTTGGCCGGCTCGTAGCTCTGCTGGGCCCGCCTGGTGCGCCCCTCCGCCAGGTGGCCCTCGTGACTCCGGGAGCGCACGTCTCCGATGGTGACTTTCCGCCTCAGCGTGACCACCCCAGGCTCCTCCGGAAGCACGGACAGGTGGAAGCGAGGCCCGTCCGGGACGGCGATGCTGCCCTTGACTCCCATCTCTATGATGTTCTCGCAGCTCATCGTCTTGGTCGGAAGGTAGGTCGACTGGCTCCAGGCGGCCGGCGCCTTGCAGTGCTTCCTCAGCTCCTTGAGGCTGGGCAGGATGGTGTGCAGCTGGCTGGTGGAGGCGCTCTTGTAGAGGCTGATGCTGCGCTTGACGGGCCGCGCCGGCCGCGGCGCCTCCTCCGCCTCCTCCAGCGCGGTCTCGGAGCCGCGCCGCTCGCGCTGCTCCGCGCGCCGCGCCACCGCCGGCCGCCGCAGCAGGTTACGGATGCTCTCCACGCGGTCCACCTTGGTGCGCCGCTCCGACCGGAGACTGTTCGTCTCGGAGTCGGGATCGGAGACACGCCACCGCCGCCGGCCCGAGCTGGGGCCGCTGATCTGCTCGCTGCTGCCTGACCGGGTCAGACGCGACAGACGGCGACCCACGCGGCGACCCCAGGTCGACCCATCTGAAACGGGGGTACCAGTCACCAGCGAACTTAGTCTGCGGTGTGGACGGATGGAACACGTCTGGCGTGGTGCGTGTGCGCACACACCGGCGGCTGTTACATAGGGCTAAATGAGGATTGCAGGGGTCGTGTTGTGCGACTCGGTAAGGGCTCTGATCTGAGGTACGTTTTGTTTCTGCTGCGTTACCTCGTAAGCTGGAGATAGAATAAGAAATTAAAACCACGATACCGTCATGCCATGGTTTGCTGCTGATCCGATGATACTATTTGTACCGCTTGTTTCTGCTTGGGGAAGGCAAACAGTTGTCTATGATGCATGTTTGCTTTAAGCATGTCCAACAACATGCGGCGCAGATCAGCAAGCGAGACATATTAGGCAATAATTTGTGAAAGTCGAGCTGCACTGAGGACAGGCTCTCACATGAACATAATCTAGTGCGGGATATAATTCCCATGCAACAATAAAACTCGACCACAGCTGACGATAGCAGCGGTAAGCCGTGGGCACGCTGGCTTCCCTTCACGTACGGATGTGCCCTGCGGCCGCGCAGCTCTCAGAGCTCGGACGGACTCGATGAGTTTGATCGGCTTGAGCGCCCAGTGACCCAGTGCGGTGCGGTCAGCGGCTGGGAAAACACGCCCGCGGCGTGGGTAGGGCTCACGGTACGCAGCCCATAGAGTCCGGTAGTAAACGAACGCGCTCCGACTTCACGCGGCCGTCTTCCCAGCCTGGTCGGCTGTTGAAGCCGCCGAGAGGGGAGACGCTGACGGCCGCCAAGGTCCGTCCGACGATCCGTCACTCCCGTGAAGATGGCATTCGCCGCGCGTCGCCGCTCGCGCCGGCCGAGCGTTCCCGCCGCGGCCGTCGGTCTGGTTCAATGGACCGCCACGCGCCCCCGCGCCGGTAATTACTTAGCATACGGCTGGCCATGGCACCAGACGCCGCTCAGAGCAGTGAACCCATCAATCAGAGCGGGCTGGGCCCGGCTGGCCGCGGGACGCGTCGCCGCGGGGGTCTCCTTGCTGACCGGCGCCGACGGAGCGGGGGCGGTGCCGAGGAGAGCGCCGCGGCCCCTCGTGGGCGGCCGCCACGCTCGGTATAGAGGGCGCTGCAGATGTGCTCTTTGCAGTCGCCGCTCTGCAAACGGACAACACGCGGACATGCTGGCATTCGGCATATTGGTGTACGTGGTTCGCTGTTTGGTCGCTTATTTTTGCTGGGAGCTATTTTTCCTGGTAACTTAACATTCCGCTGTACAAAATGTGAGTACGCCATTCTGATTCTCAGTTCATTTAATTTGCACGTGTGCGAATCGACAGGAACAAAAATCATCGCATCCTATCTTGGTCTTCGTTGCAACGCCACAATGTAAATTTGGGGCCTCGATTGGTATCCCGCAGTGCACAACTTGTCTTCTGTGGAGCCATCGTGGATGTGTCAACGGATCGATGCCGGCTAATTCATTCTACCACAGCGTAACTACCCAAACTGCTTCTAAACGCATCACACAATGGACTAGCGCCGCTCAGCCGGCGAGAGTCGGCCGATCCCGCCGGCCGGGGCGGAAGCTGTGGCGGAAGCGAGTGGTTTCCGGTCGTCAGCCGGCGGGCGGGCGGGCGGGCCCGCGACCCTGCCGCGGCCGCCAGACGCCCCGTCCTCGCACCACCGCCGGAGCGGGCACAACGAGCTGGCCGTGCCGACAAAAAGCGCCCGCGTGAGCACACCCGGCGGCTCCCGGGATGACACGGGACGACAGGCTCTGGCGACCGCCTCGACGGACCGACACGGGCCAGGCCACACGAAAGCGGTCACATTTCCCAAAATGCCTATGTCGACCGAGTTTTGTCCTTTTTTGTCAGAAGTAATGTGGCGCGGGATTCTCTACGGTTCAGTCTGTCGGTATCACTAGACATCAATGTCGCAGCCGAACCCTTTGTCACGTCCTTGTTGGAAGGCAATCGTTGAAGTTTTGGCCCGATAGGGTTGAGTTTGATAAACAAGACACAATAAAGCCTGTCACGATTTCTGTAAAGGGTGTTTTCGCTCCTAATCGAACTACACATGAATATGTTCTCCATGGACGGTAGCACGTTCTCCATGGACGGTAGTATGTTCTCCATGGGCTGTAATGTGTTCTCAATGGACGGCAATTTTTTCGCCACGGACGGCAATGCGATATTTCGACCTGATTGGGACAGAGCCTATACTGGTGCACAGTCTGGCGTCACAATGCGCCTTGCCATTGATCAGGTGCCTGCAGGGTGATCTGAATGGCCCGACTCACGGCCTGGAATGTCTAGGCAGCAGCCAGAGCTAAGCCCCGCCAGCGCTGGGCTACACCCGGCTCAACCTGACAACATTGCATTAGTGTATATGGAGGAAAGGTTGATATGCTGTCTGTTTTTGTCTGCTTGCTCTTTTTACCATTTTATGCCATGCCTTGTGTACGTGACCAAATGCTGACAGTCCAAAATTTTGGGCAGACACGATGGACACGATAGACAAAACTTAACATAAACGTAAAGATAAGAAGACCGGAAGCACGCAAAAGCTGTTTACCGACACGCAGCATACTGCACGCGCCTGCGGTGTGCTAAAATCGGTTTTCAGTGCAAGGTTTTGAGCAGGGCCCCCTCCCCGCCTTCTACCGTGAAATCCTATGTACGCCCCTGCCCGGAACAACCATAGCCCGCCGAAGAAACGAGTCTTGCCGCTCAAAGCGGAACGAAAACGGAACGAGCGTGGCGAGCACGACAACGCCGGCATCACAGACGGCCGCCGTCTCGTTCGCCCCGTCACAGCGCTGCAATCCATCAGCTCTTACCGAAGACGCTCTGCGGGCGTGGGACTCGGCCGCGCCGGTCTCACCGTCCGGCAGTCAATCAGCGCCGCGCGCCGCCCGCCCCATGCCCCGGATGAGATGAGCGTGAGACATTCGAACGCCGGCCGTGATTTACTCGCGGCCTGCGGTCGTCTCTCTCTCGTTCAGTGCACCCAGCGGCCGGCGGAAGAGGCGCGCGCTCAGCTGCTGAGCCGTGAATGCCGCTCTGCAGCAGCGGGCCGCGCTGCGACCCGCCGACCCGGCCGGCTTTCAATGCATATTTATGTGCGCTGCAGAATTAACTGGTCATGGTTGTGCAGTTTCGCCGGCCGCTATTAGTCGCGCGGATGTGCGCGCCATGAGCGGCGGTCTCTCGGGCGTTCTCCTTGGGCTGGCTCGGAGCCGACCGCACAGTTAGACGGCTGAGAACGTGACGGTGGCGTGAGTGACAGGTGACGCTTCGCCGCGACAGCTATGCGTATAAATCAGTGTGCCAGCTCGGGGAGGGAGCAGATCTATCCTGAATGAACATTGCCTCAAGCCGTACAGAAGCTTTCAATATCTGCATTACGAAATACAAACAAATGCGCAATCGCTTTGGATAGGGAGACAGCGCGTTGCGAAAGTATGAAGGATGTTAACGTTACGCTAAAACGGGATTAAACAGACCAATAGCCAACATTCTCAAGAGCTTTCGCACGTACCCAAAAGAATCGGGTGCTTCTGACACACGACCGGCGTGACCGAGTGACGCACTCCCACGGACGCCTGGCGCGTGCGGCATCGCGCGCCGGGCGCGGTGGGACCGCGGGACATGTCACGACCCAGCGTTGTGACAACACGCGGGCGTCGGGAGCGCCGCAGCCGCGGCCGGCGCGTGCCGGGGGCCGCACCTGTGCGCGCCCCGCGGCCGATGCCCGGCGATAGGGCGGCTTTCTCGGCCCCGTAGCCGCGCGGCGGCGGCGCACGGACGCCAGGTCAGCCGGCGCCCAGCCTCCGTACTCGGCCTCCGTGGTCCACCCGGCATGTCGGACTCGAGCACGGAGGTCGAGCGAAATACGGACGGGAGAGAGGGTGGGTGGAGGAGAGGAGCGAAATACGGACGGGAAAGAGAGGGAAGGTGGCGGAGAGGAGCGAGATAGGGACGGGGGGGGAGAAAGAGGATGGAGGAGAGGAGCGAAATACGGATGGGAGAGAGGATGGAGGAGAGGAGCGAAATACGGATGGGAGAGAGGGTGGAGGAGAGGAGGATATGAAGCTATATCCTCACGGTAGTCAGTTATTGTGCTCAAGAGCGAAAGCAGTGCGGCTCTCTTTTTGCGCTCTAACAACATGTGAGCTGCATGAAAAATAAAATTGCATGAATAAGCATGGGCGTGAATGGAGAAAGAGGTGGGGAGAATGGATTTCACGATGTGGGTGAGAGAAAACGAAAACTATGTCTTTTATGTCACGGACGATTCCTTTCTATTTGTTGGTATACAAACCTAAATATTAGTGGGCAAACTCTCAGTGGAAGCATGATCACGTTGTTGGACGAGCTATTTTACACTGATGCGACACTGTTTCCCCAAAATGGTGGTACTACTTTGAATACAATGATATCAGCAAACTGTGTCGTCTGAGCTGAAGCACGGTGCTGACACTGTTCGCCGATGGCGCGGCCGGCTTCTTCAGTAACATTGTGGTTAGCGTTTTTCACCCCGTCATTGATATCCCACACTTCTTTATCGGTGTAATTACACAGTATGATCACCATAAACGGTGCTATGCGATCGCAGACGAGTCAAGCATGACACGTAACGGACTATTTGTAGGGTGTGGCCTTACCTTTGCGATGCTGCTCGTCGGCCGATATGTAGATGATGGAGGGTTTGATGAGGGGCGGCGCTGTGGGGTCCTCCGGGTCACCACCCTCCTCCCGCCGGAGGGGCGACAGGCTGACCAGCTGGGGGGCCGAGTCGGACCCCCGACGCCGAAACAGGCGCATCGCCACACCTGCAGCCAGAGCAGAAGGAGAAGGTTACGGCCAGCTGGGTTGAGCAGACGGCATATTTCGAGGCCACATCACCCGTTTGCCTGATCTGTTAGCGACGAATCCACGGTAAAACATATCGCAAAAAACCTTTCCGCTCAAGCTGTTACTCTTAACGCTGAATAACCGGCCATGATCGCTTTGTCCAGAATCAATGTATTCTGTGCTTTTATAAAGCGCAAGTTGGAAAAGAGAAAACAAAAGTCAAGTTACTCTCAACTGCTCGATCATCATGAGCAGGTCAACGTTGCACGATTTATCAAGAAAAACGTTATAGATAGTTATACATAGTCACACAGTTAGATGTCATCATACGTTACGGCGTTTAGTGACGCGATGCCCTCCACCGATATATTTAGCGTCGCACCGTCCTTTACCGACAAGTGCGAAGACAAAATGTCGACTGTTAACCAGTTTCAAGCACAACGGTTGAGCGCCACAAGCTAGGCGGAACCAACTGTGGGGCATATCCCCACGAATACCCTCCGCCAACTGAGGCTGTGACATCTAAAATCGCGCGCTCGTAAAAGGATTAAAGAATTGGTGTTTAAGGCGTCTCCTAATTGCACTGGCAGCTTGAGCGAGAAGGCTCTGACACCGAAATGCACTTGTTCAACCTGAGCAAAATTCGAATACCCGAAATGCTGCCAAACTGCTAACCTGCCCATTGCATTCTGCTGTAACGATATGACCTAAGCCGCTGTCATAACACAGCTGCATCATGTGGTAATTCGTACTTCGGCTAAAACTTCCGAGATTTTTTAGAAAGGCGTAAAGAGAAACTCACGGCGACAAAAATTTTCTGACGAATAAGGGACTCATGCCGGAGCTTTTAAATATTTAACTCCAAAGAATATTTTGGCGGCCCACTAAAGGCTTTTAGTGGGACTGAAACCGCCGAACACAGTTAGATATGCAGAAATGCTTGCACGTACACTGTACCAATCCATGCGGTGTCTCTGTTGCTTGTGCCAAGAGATTTACCATTGTGCTGCAACAATCCAGAAAAGTGTATGCCTTGACACGGGCCGCATGGAAAGTCTGTATCGCCTGGTGTTGCTATCGTCATGGCAAAGTTTTACTCTGTGGCTAAACGACCAAAGATGAGCCGTGGGGGATGCAATATTAAGGTGCTTGAGACTTAGCGGAGTTCGAGAACTTCCTTTTTGGAAAAAAACTTGGCCCTTTTTGGAAAGGCCACTACCTTCAACCCATCCATTAACAGAACAATGCTGGAACATCAATGTTGGACCTGATGCTATACTTCTCGCTTGTAAACGACATTCCGTTCCGTTACATCTCTTTCAGACAGCAGCTCTCCAGCACAATCGTGTGATGCATCGACATCGGTTCAATAGCTTCGGTTCTTAGTTCATGCTTGAGACTGTGGGGTGATGGTAATAGTCAATTCGAATTCCTCCGCAGAAGCGTAAATAACAGGCGGCTGTCCATCAGACATCAGAAGGGCGTTATTAGCCAACCGTAAGTGCCTCTCAGCCTCACACGTCACCGCCCACCGCCGGCCGAAGGGCTCCCGGTCCTGCGCCTGTCGTCATGGCACGTGGAGCCCAGGACCTGCCGCAGTGTCGGCCGCCCTGGCACCGGCCACTGCTGACCTGACCCCTGCCTTCTGCACCGTCTACTGCCGCTGGACAGGCCTCGATCCAAGCATGGCCGGACTCAACAGTGAAGCAACACGAGAGGTGACAGCGGTGGGACTGCAACAAGACCGCGGGAGTGTGCCTGCGCGTGGATTGTTTGGAAGCAACATACCTGTAATGAGAAATTATGAATGTAAAGCGGGATTTTAGTGGTATTCCAGTGCGCAATTAAGCCATTCCGCGGCATGACATGAGACTTTGCAGAAGGCCCTGTGAGGGAACGCCGTCAGCGGCTGCCACTGATCCGCCTGGAGGCATTGTGCAATGTGCACCCGTCAGCGCAGATTGCAAACAAAAGCGACCAAAGTGGTGACGTCATCAGCCGGCAGCCACGAACTCGCTGCTTCCGGCAGCAGGTGGTGGTCCGTGCGGCTGGCGGCACTTCTCCACCGCCTTCTCCGCGTCTGGCACGCCACGCCAGCCGCAGCCGCCGACCACTGCCGGCCCGTCGCCGCAGAACGGGTGGCGGTGAGCCAACCCCTCCCGCTTCCCGAGGCGCCAGGTTCGCACGCGCGCAGGCGGGGTGGGTCGGAGGTCAAGGCCCAGGGGCGGCGGTGGCGCGCGCGCGAGGCCGCTGACGGATAAGGGCGGGGAGGTGTCGGTCGGTCGGCCGGACCGGTCCTGGGCGGAGTTGACACCTGACGGACGGACCGTGGGAGGCCGATGAATAACGACACGTGCCCGCGACGGCAGCCGGCAGTAAAATACCATTTTGGACTTCTGTTTCAGCCTCCATGAGTAGGGGCTCGCCAGAGTAAACAATAACAAAGGACAGGCGACGGCGAAATGGATGACCGACCATCTCGCGTCAAACACAAAAGAAAATAGATTTGTTACCGGGAGTGAAAAATTGGAATGTGAGCTCGCATGGATTCCTCGTTCAGATGTTCAAGTTTTGAATGCATTTATGGAGTGTGGCGTGATAGAACACACGACCTTTCGGTTTTGTTCTTCCCGAAGGGCAGTGAGGAAAAGAAGCGAAGAGGCGTGCCAAATGTTCGAACGAAATAGTCGGAATGTTTTGACGCGTGTTTCGAACAAGGCTCACCGTAAGCACGCAATCATTGTGGAATGGTGGTTGTGGCAATAGCAAAGAAACTTCCCTTAAAGCCGACATTTTACAGTATACCGTCCACGGAGCTTTGTTCCAGCAGCCTTGCCACAAGAGAGTTTCTTAACATTGGCCATTGACGCCATTGTATCTCAGTGAACTGATCCTTTCTTGGCAGCATCTTACCTCCCGTTTAAAGCCCCATTGGCCACAAACATGCATGAGATTTGCCTTGTAAAAAGGCCGTCAGGTTAAGACTGGAAAAAGACGGGCTATCGCAGTCATCATGGAGTCTGAACAACAGCGGACCAAAGGAGATCTTGATAAACAAAACATTACCCATGGCACGGAACGGAACATCCAAACAACGGAAAGCCAGAACAGTGCTGACGGTTTCGAAAGAGCTTGTGTGGCAACACTCAGCGGTGGTGCCAAAAACACACATCGCGCTCGTGCCGGGTCCGAAACGGTGTCGAATTACCGTTCAGGGGCAGGGAAGGTGCCCATCTCGACGGGCCGGGTCAACCGGGCACAATGGGGGGTCAACCGGGCCCCGGGCGTGTTTCGGCGCAGCGTGCCGCATCCGCCACCGCGCCACGGGTGCGGCCTGCGGCGTCCGTGGCGCACCTGCCACATGCCCGGTCCCGTGACGGAGACAAAAACGGCGCGGTCGGTTCATCAGCCGGCGGCGACTGACGCAGAGCGGCGGCCGGTGGCCAGCTCGTCACCGGTGCGGTGCCGGGTGGAGCGAGCCGGCGCCGAGGCGGAGCGAGCGGAACGCCGGTGACGGTCGCTGAATGCTGTCTGGGTCTGTGAGCCGATGACTCGACTGCCTTGCAGAACGGCGCACCACCATGACGACTGTCTGAAGCGTACTTACTAAAGCTTTGCGAAACAGTGAACGTCTTCAGGTTAGAGTATGTATGTAATGCAATTAAGATTATTTTTCGATTAATGGGTCTGACATCATGTTTCACTTCAGTGTATATCGTTGAATCTATGCCTGAGTCATTCACCATTCCATGACTTGACGATAAGCATCGAAATGTCTGTGTTTACTTTCCGATGATCCGTGTTCGCATCTCGGCAGTCGGAGGCCTAACCCTGCAGTTAGTGGATCAGGTGAGTACAGCAGGAATGCAGCGCATTGTGTGTTATCGCGCTGGAATCAGAAGCAGCACAACGCCGGACAATGACGGTGGGACGCTCTGTTGTGGCAAAGGCGGATACGGCGAGCCTGAATTAAATGCCCGGCCTTGGCGGACCCTGAAAAACCTGGCCGTGATGGACCTATTTGCGCCACCAGCGGTCTGATAACACGCCGGGGTTTCGCCGCCGCAGCCACGGCCTCGCTTCCCACTCCGTTGTTGATGTTCCCCTCCGCCAAGCCGTGCACGCTCGGCCACGGCGGCGTCGAGAGGCGAGAGCATCACACACACACACACACACACACTTGGACAGTTAGCTCCGGCAGAGCGGCGGCCGGCGGCGCCATAAATCGGCTCTCGATCGACCGTAGAAAGAATCATAAAGGCGGAGATTGCGGCGTGGCCAGGCCGCCGTTTCCGTTAATGCTGTATTTCACGCCCGGCATGTGTCCACCGGCCAGTAATGACCGGTGGTGAGCAGACGCCGGCTCCAGACCGCACGCGGACAGGACGCCGACGTTGGCATGGCGACGCCGCGGACGGCCGGAGTCGCGGCGTTTCGGGCGCGGCCCGAACCCCCAGCTGGCGGGCGGGGTGCACGAAACGGACGGGCGGAAGCCAGCTTGGAGCGCAGACGGGTGGGTTGAGATGGCTGGAAATCATAAGTCTCAGTGGCACGCTTAGAGGATGGACGAATCCATGGAACCGAGCGGACGTAAAATGAGACGAAGCCCTTCGAAACGGATACGAAATATGCATACAAATTGAGAGGACAAGACAGAGAGGGAGACAGACGGAGACGTACACGTACACACCGCTTCAGTGATCAAAAGGGGGACCTAGCCGGACAGCACGACCCCAGTCAACGCGGGACGAGGCGGAGCGGTCCGCCACCACCGGGGGAGGTTCTGCCCAGTCAGCACGTCACCGTGAACTTCTGCCGCGCTCGGCACCGTGAACTTCTGCAGCGCTCGGCACCGTGACGCCCCGTCCGATAGGCAATCCCCGACGCCGACGCCTCCCGTAAGCTGAGTTGCGTATGACGTCGGCGTCGTGACATTTAATGTCCCCGGTAAACATGGGCCTACACCACAGACTAAGCT